AGGAAAGTGCTGGAGGGTCCGGACGAGGCCCAGCAGCACAGGTGGGTTTTCCGGCCCGCTCTCGGCCTTCAAAATCAGTCACGTCTCAGCCAAGCCTGGGGTGGAGCGGGGTGTGGGTCTGGACAGGGACAGCGTACGCTGCGAGCCTGCGGGCGGCGGGGCCAGGAGGGGCCCAGCGCAGTGTCCTGCTCGCCCTCTGTAGGTGCTGTCCTCCTTGTGCCCCTGTGGCCTGAGGCCTGCAGAGGTCAGAGGGGAGGAAGGAGATGGAGTAGGGTGGTCCCAATTCCTTCCTTTCGCAGATGAAGGACCCAGAGCCTGCCCCACGCCCTGGCGGCGAGGAAACCAGGGCCAGCACTGAGCGGGCCTGGACGCCGCTTGCCAGGGGCTCGCTGCCTGTCCCTCCTGACAAGCTCAGTGACTATAACCACGCACCCAGTCCATGGTGGGGGGTGGAGGTCACGTGGGGTGAAGGGGCCTGCTGGCAGACTCGGTGACGATAAAGATGCAGCACCACAGGAAGCCCGCTGCAGAGAGTAACTGGAACGTGACCCCCGCTTTCCTGGCATGCAGCCATCTGCCCCTCACCCGCGGACAGCTGTTCAGCGCAGTCACAATCGTAGTGGACGGACGATTTGGTGTTCAGGGGTCTGCCTGTAACACGGCAATGCTTCTGACTGTGACCGCTCCTGGCAGCCCAGCCCAGACGGGCACGGCCTGTCCTCCCGATGAGAGGTTTGGGTTCTCCATCAAAGCTTTCGGTTTTACTGTGACCCACGGGGAAACTCTGCTTTTTCTTATTTTTTTGGAAAGATGATAAGATGTTTAGCTTCTAAGGGTCACCTGAGAAACGTCCCACGACGGTGTTCACATTTGTAGACTACTGAACGACTGCACAGACTTCCCGCGGGCTAACACCATCACCCTAACACACGGCCTCCTGCACCCAGGAGTGCCACTGAACTGTCACACTATCAATGGAGAAGACCCCATGCACGGTAGGACATAGGGGGCCCGGGGCCCTGCGAGGCGAGACGCCCACTGTTCTGCCGCCCTGCACGTCTAACTGGGCCTCAAAGCCAGCAGAACCTTGGGCAGATGCCAAAGGAACCCACATTAGCAGGGCCCAGGGGAGACACGGTCAGCGAAGGGCGGGCCTGGCGCCCAGGCTCCGGCCGCTGGCCATCGCAGTTCTGAGTCTGGCTTTAAAGTTCTAATCTCAGGTGGTCTCGTTCCCAGACACGGCAGATCGAAAAGGGGCTTGGGGTTCACTGGCGTTTAACGCATCCACCTGACTCCATCGGTGGCCGGCCAGAAGCCCCAGGGGCAGTGAAGCAGTCCACACTCCTCGGTGAGGTGGCTGCAGGGGCCACGCCCCATGCCTGCAGCAGAAACTCACCGTGGAACCACTCACGCATCCCGGCCCCGTGCCGCGGGCAGCGGGACTCGGCGCAAAGTTCTGGGATGCTCTACGTCCTCGAGCATCTGGGAGCATCTTTGCTGGCCGGTCAGAGGTGGCTGAGTTAATGCAGGAAGCGTCCCGCCTCCCACATAGTGATGCTGCATGTTAGCTGCTCTGACAGCAGGGCTTCCCCAGACTGGATCTGGGCAGACTCCCCCAAAGTGTCATGTTCACGTTTACTTTGCCAAGGGCACAGGACTCAGCTTCCATGTTCACTCGGCCGCCTGCAGGCCAGCTGCACCGGGCCCTCAGAGGCCACCGGTGTCTCATAAGATGACACAATCGTCCCGGTGTGTGGCACAATCTCGCTAGAGGGTGGCCACTAAGTCATGGGTAAGTCTGTCCCTTTGGCAATGTGGAACTTACTTTAGGTTAAAGCGAAAATCGGTTTAAATCTGCAGACTCCTTGTGACAACAGACGAAACCCAGAGTATCAGAAAAATAGCCTGAGAAACACTTTTCTTTTAATGGGCGTGGCTAGGGGGTGTCCGGATATGGCTGGGAGAGTATGTTTTTAAATACATACATAACATAAATTCCATGGAGGAAACAAGGATTTTGTCATGATGGGATCCAGTGTTAACTCACTTTAGCCACTGTATTTTAAAGTGGTTTTTGTATTTTGAAGTGATTGCTATGACCGTAAAAAAAAGCATTTTCTGTTCCGCTAACAAAGCTGCTGTAAAAGTTGTATAATTTTGAGCAAGTTGGGCTTTGCTCAACCTGGAGCACTAAGTAGACCCCTCAATCTCGCCTGAGGAGGGCCCCTTGGGAGCACGGCCCACTGCATTGTCTGGACGGAGCTCTCCTAAGGCTGGTTAAACCCTTCCGCGGCCATCGCGAGCTGCGTAGCCTCAGCTAAGTCCCTCGTCTCACTGGGGTCTTTGTCCTCACCTCCAACATGAAGACACAGGTGTCTGGGAGCACGTAAGCGGGCCCGGAGCGAAGGCCTGCACAGCTCCCCGCACGCAACATGGGCAGGTGCACAGCAGCCATCGTCACCTGGGCTTGGAACTTGACCACAGTTTCACAGCTGGTGACATAAGTACCGGGAAATGAAGACAGGAAGCCCCTCGCCCTGATCTGCAGCTCTGAGCAAAACACTTCCTCCTCAGAGGAGAGCCAGCCCGATATAATTCAGAATCGCCATAAAACGGGGAAAGGATGGTGGGCAACAGACAGCTCACTCCGAGGGTCTGTGTGTCTGCTGCTGCTGCCGCGGGCAGACCCTGTGAGCACATCTCAGGGTGCGCTTTCTGGAAGAAATGCATCCAAACGCTCAGACGGATGTGAGATGATCTCAGAATAGGTCTGGCGTGTTGCGTGAAGTCCAAGGAGAAAACAGTCAGCAGCCTCGGCCCTGCCTGGGGGAAAACGCCCAGGCGCCGGGCCACGCTGGGCTGACAGGAGTGGAGGATGGCCCTGGCCGCCCAGCGGGTGGCGTGAGGCCATCAAATGAGATGTTCCCGCAGAGGCGACAACTGCCATCTCCCATTAACCTGACGGGCCACCCACCAAGCAACCTTCCGTACAGTTTTGGCTCTCAGAGTGCCCTTTCCCGCTGAGGAGAAGAGGTGAGGACTTATGTCTCTTAGAACTGCTCACAAGCGGCAGAGCCGGATGAGTAAAAGAAAAGGCTGATTCTGCCTGCTGTACCATAATCCGAGTGACTGCAGGTGGTCAAGCAAACTTTTGGACAAGAATTCAAAAGAACGGCCCATAAATGTTTTTTTCAGCAGACATAGAACCTTAATTGTAAAAATAACCTTGAAACCCTGACCTTGAAGCCTGGAGGCTTAAGACCAGTTCCCCTTCCTGCGCCAACGATTTATTCTCTTCTCTTGGGAGGCACAGGGTGCCATTTACCGAGCTTCCTCTTCCAGACGCACGTGCTTTTGAAGCCTTTGACAAGAAAGCCCCCCTCGGCCCCACCGCGACCCCACCCGACCCCATCTGGCACACCTCCTAGTGTTCACTTAAGTGACCTGGGCGATGTCATCTATTTCACTCCGTCATTTCCCCAATCCCGGCCTCTGCTATGTCACATTTTCTTTCTCTGAAATGTTTATACCCTCAGTCACTTGATTAGAATTCCGAATCAGAACAGCCCCGCATCCCTCCGGCGCAAAGGCGGGCCTGTGGGGCGGGGTCTGTGACAGGCGCGCCGCGCTCACAGCCTTCCACAGGCCGGGGAGGGTCTCGCGGGCGATCCACGCTCCCCGGACGCTGCGCGCCAGGTGCTCAGGGCCAAGGGCGTAAGGGCAGCGACCGGCGACGGGCCGAGCATCACGTAGGCGCGCGCCGCGGGCAGGGCGGCGGTCACAGAGCCCCAACCCGCCGCACCCATCCCGCCCCGCTCAAGGGCAAAGGGAAGGTCACCCCGCGGGGGGGCGCTGGAGAGCGCGCCGGGCCCATTACCCAAGCATCCCTCCACCATGTGTGGTCTCGAAACAGGTGAAAAAGAGGCATCGGGGCCTTTGAACTTCTCCGGACGCGGGGGAGTGGGGAAAATGAAGACCGAGCGCCAGCGCGGGGACGCGTCTCCAGCCTGTGATCCCCAAGGCCCAAGGACGCACACCTTCGCCTGGAAAGCGCCGCGCAGGGACTTGCTCGCCTCGGGAAAACCCACCGCCCGGAACCCCTGCACCCTCACGTGCGCCCAGCGCGACGGCCCGGGCGTGGCCGAGTCGCCCCGCCCCCATGTAATTGAAATATTCTCTAGGTGCGTCCTCGGGCCTCGGGTCCCATCTCCCCGAAATCCGCCTCCACGTTGGGAGTGGGGAGCCCGGAGTCCGCGCCGGGTGCCGGTGACGTCCCAGAGTCCCCGCTTCTTGCTCTTTCCCATGTAGGGAGGCTGGCGGGGAGGCCCAGTGACTCATTTTAGTTTTCGGTTCGGTTAAGAGCCGGAAGGGGACAAGAGATGAGGGCGGCGGAAAACCGTATTTTAAAATCTCCCAGCGGAAAGGAGGG